CGGTTAGTGGTGGCTTATTAGTTCCGTGTTCCTTAGCAGGACTTCCTGTGGTAAGACAAATCATGCAAATGGTTATTAGGGTGCCTGGCCAGGGTGGGTGGTTTCAGTTAGTGTGCTTCCCCTAACACAACCTTTCTAATGTATTTGATGTCTGTGCTTTTTTTATATGGTCCTGTAAAAAAAAATATGTATTTTGTGTATGTATGTGTGTGTTTGGTCTTTTGTTATATTCTTATTGTATTTCTTACTTTTTGAATTTAGCACTATATTTCTAAGCTCTGTCTATGTTGCTCATCAATTGCTTCTGATTGTTGCATAGTACCTATCCATTCCCCTGATAATGAACACTGTGGATATTTTATACATGATTCCCTGGACAAGGCCAGTGTTTCATCAATACTTAACATAGCAGTTCTCAACACTTTCAGACTCAACAATCCTCCTTAAACAAAAAATAGAACATCTCCTTTATTATTCTGAAATGAAATTCACAATTAATATAACCTACTGCAGTGGGCAGCCTCTCAGATGTTTGCCTCCTGCTAGTCACATCCTTGTGTAATCCCTTCTTCTTGAGTGTGGGATGCACTTATCAACTTCTAGTGAATAGCACAGAAGAGATGGAATGTCATTTCCAAGGTTAGGTTAGGTTACCAAAAAACTGATCTTGGGTGTTCTTCCTGATTCTCTCCCTCACCTGCTCTAAGAGAAGCCAGCTGCCATGTTGTCAGCTACCCTAGGAAGTTGACATGGCAAGGAATGGAGGGAGAGCTCTGGTGATACCCAGTGAGGAACTGAGGCCCTTACTCTGACAAATTGAAGTAACTGAATCCTGCTGACAACAATGTGAGTGATTTTGGAAATGGATCCTTTCCTATCAATACTTCAGATCAGACTGAGGCCCAACCAACACCTTGACTGGCACATAAGGACCTTGAGCCAGAGGCATCCATCTGAATTGCACTCAAATTTCTGACCCACAGAAACTGTGTGATAAATGTTCACTGTTTCAAACCAAGTTTGGGGATAATTTGTTTCACACTGATAAATAACCTAACTACCCACATAACTACAAAACTACAAAATGTAATGTCCTCACTATATTATAAAGGTAAAATAAAGACAGTAAGTTATAATAATATGTGTTTCAATAGGGTTTCCCGGCTGGCTCAGTGGTAAAGAATCCACCTATCAATGCAAAAGATATGAGTTCGATCCCTGGGTCGGGAAGATCTCCTGGAGGAGGAAATGGCTGCCTATTCCAGTATTCTTGCCTGGAAAATCCCATGAACAGAGGAGCCTGGAGGGCTACAGTCCATGGGGTCGCACAGAGTCGGACACAACTGAGTAACTAACACTTTCCCTTTTTCTCAGTGTCAGACCCCACTGATCAAGGGATCGGTCCTACAAGAGTGCTCTTAAATTTAGATGCCAATGGATAGAGGTAGGGCCCCAGGCTACCACAACTTCTGTGTGACTTGGCTAAAAATCAGAGTCTTCCATGTCCTCCTCCCCCTTGGATTTGGTTATTTCCTAGAACAACTCACAAAATTCAGGGAAACACACTTGCCAGTTTATTAAAGGGTATCATAAAGGTCAAGGTCACAGATGAAGAGACACATGGGGCAAGGTCTGGGAGGGTCCTGAGCACAGAGCTTCTGCCTCCATGAAGTTGGGGGTGCATCACCCTCCAGGTAAGTGGTTGTGTTCCACAACCTGGCCACTCTCTAAACCTCCTACTACTGGAAATGTGATGCCTTGTAGAGGTATAATTAATTGCTAATTCCATTTCTAGTTCCTATCCCCTCCTCTGGAGAGGGCTAGCTAACAATTCCAAGCTTCTAATCATGGCTTGGTTTTTCTGGTGACCAGCTCCCATCCAACAGCCATCCAGGAGCCCACCCAGAGTTGCCTCATTAGAACAAAAGATGCTCCTAATGCTGTTATCACTTAGAAATTTACAAGGAATTCAGTAGCCCTGTGTGTGTGTGTGTGTTGAGGGACTGTAGAGTGGATGTCAAAGACCAGCTCTAGAAGAGAACTGTCCTAGTCTCTTCTTTGTTGTTGTTCAGTCGCTAAATCGTATCTGACTCTTTGTAACCCTGTGGATTGCAGTACACTAAGCCTCCCTGTCTGCTCTTATCACCTAACAAATTACAAGTGTTTTAGGAGCTCTGGGCCAGGAAAGCAGGCAGAGGAAGGAGGAGGTGGTTTGGGAAGAGACCAATATATATACTTTCTACTATCTCACAGTTGCATTCCAGGAAAATTCAATGTACCTTAAAAGCATAGGAAAATGCTTTGTATTTATATGTTGACAAAGTTATGTTCCAGACCTAGCTAATTATGAGCAGATTTTTTTATTCACAGGGATGTTTAGCAGGACATTCAGAAATACTGTATTGTGAAGCATCTTTCCCCACATGACATCATCTCTTGTGTCCCTAACTTTAGCCTTCTAATGCCCATGGTTTTCCCAAGCACTGTTCTGTATAAAAAGAACAACAAACAAATCCATAACAATTATATCTTCAGTCTAAGGGGAGATAACACTCCCTTGAGAAGTGGTAGTGAAGTACAACATCCCCAATAACCAATAAAGAGTTTGGCAATAAATCATATGTGTGTTAGTTGCTCAGTTGTGTCCAACTCTTTGCAACCCCATGGACTGTAGCCTTACAAATAGCTGTGAAAAGAATAGAAGTGAAAAGGAGGGGGGGGAAAGGAAAGATATATCCATTTGAATGCAGACTTCCAAAGGATAGCCAGGAGAGATAAGAAGGCCTTCCTCAGTGATCAATGCAAAGAAATAGAGGAAAACAGTAGAATGGGAAAGACTGGCTATCTCTTCAAGAAAATTAGAGATACCAAGGGAACACTTCATGCAAAGATAGGCTCAATAAAAGACAGAAATGGTATGGACCTAACAGAAGCAGAAGATATTAAGAAGAGGTGGCAAGAATACACAGAAGAACTATACAAAAAAGATCTTCATGACCCAGATAATCATGATGGTGTGATCACTCACCTAGAGCCAGACATCCTGGAATGCAAAGTCAAGAGGGCCCTTAGGAAGCATCACTATGAACAAAGCTAGTAGAGATGATGGAATTCCAGTTGACCTATTTCAAATCCTAAAAGATGATGCTGTGAAAGTGCTGCACTCAATATGCCAGCAAATTTGGAAAATGCAGCAGTGGCCACAGGACTGGAAAAGGTCAGTTTTCATTCCAATCCCAAAGAAAGGTAATGCCAAAGAATGCTCAAACTACCACACAATTGCACTCATCTCAAATGCTAGTAAAGTAATGCTCAGAATTCTCCAAGCCAGGCTTCAGCAATACATAAACCGTGAACTTCCAGATGTTCAAGCTGGTTTTAGAAAAGGCAGAGGAATCAGAGATCAAATTGCATCGAAAAAGCAGGAGAGTTGCAGAAAAACATCTATTTCTGCTTTATTGACTATGCCAAAGCCTTCAACTGTGTGGATAACAATAAACTGTGGAAAATTCTGAAAGAGTTGGGCATACCAGACCACCTGACCTGCCTCTTGAGAAATCTGTATGCAGGTCAGGAAGCAACAGTTAGAACTGGACATGGAACAACAGACTGGTTCCAAATAGGAAAAGGAGTACGTCAAGGCTGTATATTGTCACCCTGCTTATTTAACTTCTATGCAGAGTACATCATGAGAAACACTGGACTGGAAGAAGCACAAGCTGGAATCAACATTGCTGGCAGAAATATCAATAACCTCAGATATGCAGATGACACCACCCTTATGGCAGAAAGTGAAGAAGAACTAAAGAGCCTCTTGATGAAAGTGAAAGAGGAGAGTGAAAAAGTTGGCTTAAAGCTCAACATTCAGAAAATGAAGATCATGGCATCTGGTCCCATCACTTCATGGCAATAGATGGGGAAACAGTGGAAACAGTGACTGACTTTATTTTTTGGGGCTCCAAAATCACTGCAGATGGTGATTGCAGCCATGAAATTAAAAGACGCTTACTTCTTGGAAGGAAAGTTATGACCAACCGAGACAGAATTTAAAAAGCAGAGACATTACTTTGTCAACTAAGGTCCGTCTAGTCAAGGCTATGGTTTTTCCAGTACTCATGTATGGATGTGACAGTTGGACTATAAAGAAAATTGAGCGCCGAAGAATTGATGCTTTTGAACTGTGGTGTTGGTTTAGAGTCCCTTGGACTGCAAGGAGATCCAACCAGTCCATCCTTAGGGAGATCAGTCCTGGGTGTTCATTGGAAGGATTGATGTTGAAGCTGAAACTCCAATACTTAAGCCCCCTGATGCAAACGGCTGACTCATTTGAAAAGACCCTGATGCTGGGAAAGATTGAGGGCAGGAGGAGAAGGGGACAACTGAGGATGAGATGGTCGGATGGTATCACCGACTCAGTGGACATGAGTTTGGGTAAGCTACTGGGAGTTGGTGATGGACAGGGAGGCCTGGCTTGCTGTGATTCATGGGGTCGCAGAGTCGGACACGACTGAGCAACTGAATTGAACTGGACTGCAGCCCTCCAGGCTCCTTTGTCCTTGGGAATTCCCAGGCAAGAATACTGGAGTGGTTTGTCATTCCTTCTCCAGGGGATCTTCCCTACAGAGAGATCAGACCCAGGTCTCCCATTCAAAGCAGATTTTTTTTACCATCTGAGTCACCAGGGAAGCCCTGGCTATAAATCATAGTGGAACTCTAAGTTGTTCAAATTATTTAAATTCACCCCTGGCTAGTCCCTCAATGATCCAAAACTTCGCAGTACCGAATCAGGAAGCGGTGATCTGATACGCAGAAGCAAGTTCAAGGTGACAACTAGATACACGCCATCTAGCTCATCGTTTTTCTTTGCTAATATTTAATTCCTACTTTCCGAGACTTTATCCTTCTCCGTTCAGGTTTCACCGCTGGGCGGGACGCGCAAGGCCCTCTTCCACAGGTGGGGTTCCGCTAGGCCCCGCCCTGGCCCCGCCCATCACCGGAAATGAGGCAGAGGAAGTAGTAAAAGTTCTCCGAGGGAGGCGGGCGCGCCGATGAGGTGGCTGACTGGTGGGATGGCAGATGAAGAAGAGGATCCCACCGTGAGTGACCGCCTCTGTTCCACCCCGCTTTTTTATTTACTGTCTCGAGCACAGTAGCGGAAGCACAGTGGAGAATTGCGTTTCTTTACCTCATTGCTTCATCCGAGAGAATCGGGGACTTCACCCCGGGCTAGCCTTTTTCTTCTGATTCATCCTTTTTAGTAAGCGGGGCGGGAGGAGTGGTTGGCTCCCCGCCCTTTACTTTTGGGTCATATTTGCCAGATACCCTTTGAATCACCTAGAGAATCATCAGAGGGCAAAGCTAGTATTTGTTAGGGCTCATTATGCAACAACAATTCAAGTGCTAAGAAAACTGTATACTTACTGTAAAGTAGTGGAAAAATAATGGACTCAAGTCACTAAGCAAGTTATTGAGCCTCAGTTTTCATGTCATAAAATAGGCTTAAGGTTTGCTTGAGGAAACTTCTTAGCACTGTGTAAGAAATGCTTAACAAATACTAGTTTTGCTTGCTTTCATTCAATATCAACTCTTTTAATAGTAAAACTATCTAGAAATAGGCCAACTTAGTTAAAAAAAAAAAATGTATGGTCGTTGGAACTCCCCCAGGAGAGGCAGTACGATTGTTAGAGGCATTGTAGAAACCACTCCTGCGTGAGTCTGAAGTTGGGTGAGATAGTTTAATGCCCCCAAAATGCTAAAGTTTCATTGTTTTTTGCTGCTTGCTTTAGACTTTCTGGCATGATACTGGTGTTGAAGATGTTTAAAAAAATGTTAATTATTAAAATGTCAGAAGCAGTGTTTGACATATGTATACATTTTAACTTCCAGTTTGAGGAAGAAAGTGAAGAAATTGGAGGAGGTGCAGAAGGTGGACAGGGTAAAAGAAAGAGACTTTTTTCTAAAGAATGTAAGTAGTACTTGACAATGATTTTTAATAGTTTCCTTGCAGGGACAGTATTCTCATACTTGCATATAAATTCTGTTTAACCTGTGATTCACAGATAGTAATGATCCTAACCCCAGTTTATGTATTTATATATATGTGTGTATATATGGGCTCACACACACACATTTAAAAATTTTTTAAGTAAATACATGTGATCATTGTTTCAATTCAGGTCCTAAGTAAGAACGTACCTCCATTACTTTACCTGTCTCTTACCTTTCATCAGTTGGAGCAGGGACTCCTTTGACTGTAAGCTGAAGGTTCTGTTGGATCCTGAACAGGTTTGAGGGTAGGAGTTAAGTTGGTGCTTTGAACTAAGGCAATGAAGAAGGCAGGAAAATGGTGAACAATGTGAGGCAGTCCAGCGGCATGGAGATCATAAGGTTTCGGGTCTATTCTCCTCCCTCAGTAGATAGGTTTGACCTTTTGTGGCAGTGACAAGACGAGCTGCTTCTACTACTGATGATTCAGGCCAGCCCCTGAAAGGCTCCATGAGAACATGCTCTCCATCTCCCAATCCTGGTCCTTTATTCATAGTTATGGCTGAGTGTAGATGAGGCAACACATGGAACGCCTGCTTTACTTATGCCGGTTCTGACATAGCAGTTCCTAAGTCCTCTTGAAACTACAGAGTCAGTAGTTTGGTTTTTTTAAGCCATTCAAATCCTTTCCTATATCTCAACTTCTTACCTAAAGTTGACCACTCATTATTCTATCTCTGATGTTATTTACTCTATTTGTATATGGTTTTACTTCTTATGGAGACTTCCCTGCAACTCAAACGGTGAAGAATCTGCCTGCGAGGCAGGAGACCAGGGTTTGATCCCTGGGTTGGGAAGTTCCTCTGGAGGAGGGAATGGTACTCCACTCCAGTATTCTTGCCTGGAGAATTCCATGGACAGAGAAGCCTGGGGGGCTTCAGTCCTTGGGGTTACAAAGAGTCAACAGGCCTGAGTAACTAACACAATTACTTCTTAGGTAGGCATAAGAGGATTGCTACACCAGAGCATCGCAGAGTGATGCTTGCATACTTCTTAGCAGAACCATTTTTCCACTTGGATTTCTTTATTTTTATGATGACAAGAATTCAGAATCTTCACAGCTGTTTCTTTGTCTTACTTGAATTTTCACGTATCTTACCTGACCAAGATCTGTTCTCCTAGACCTTCTTTGTTTTAAAAAAATTTTTTGCTAATATAACACAAGATTTCAAAGCATTCACTTCTCTGTTTATGTCTTTACAGACTCTTTAACCAAATACAGTTTACATACTTCCTATCTAATAGATTTTTCCTTTTCCAGTGAAGTATATTTCCCTACTGATGAATTCTCCCCATCACAATGTTAATGACAGAGTATTTTCCTCAAAATATTTAAGAGAAAGTATTAAATTTATAGTGGAGAATCCAGTCCTGGCAGACATTACTTTAGTCAGGTGATCAAAGTTAGTATCACCAGTAATACATGTTGACATTAGGTACCCCTGATATGGTGCATTAAGAGGTCCATCATCACTGTGATTCCCTTTCTAGTAATGCATAACCACAACCTAATCATGAGGAAACATCAGACAAACTGAAGCTGAAGGACAGGCTACAAGATAACTGACCAGTATTCTTCAGAAATGTCAAGGTTGTAAAAAACAAGGAAAGTTTGAAGAACTGATACAGAACAGAGGAAAACTAAGGAGACACGACAACTAAATAGTGTGGGATCCTGGAACAGAAAAAGTACACTAGTGGAAAAACTGGTACAATCTGAGTAAGTTCTGTACTTGTACCAGTGTTAATTTCTTAGTTTTGATAAATGTCTTTGGTTGTGTGAGATGTTAACATAAGGGGAAACTGGATATAGGGATTCTAGAACTCCATGCTATTTATTTCTGCAGCCCTTCTTTAAGTCTGAAATTATCTTAAAAACAAATTTTTTTTTCCAGAATCCCAAAAAAGAGAGGAGGGAGAAAATATTGCCTCTTGTGTTTGTTTTCTCCTTTTTGTATCTGAACCTAAAGATTCTTGCCAGGATAAACCCTCCAGGGCACTTCTCTATCCCAGACTGGCTTCTCGGTGGTCATCCCTTTCTTTTCTCCGTTCTTTCTTCCACGGATCTGGTCTGCTTTCTTCTTAGTTCTGCCTGCTTTTGCTTCTCCTAAGTAGGAATTACTCTTTTTTTTTTTTTTAAAGGAATGATTCTTAATGTACTCCTTCCTACTTTTAGAAGTGTTCTAGGAGTCCCTTCCTGTTTGGTTGTGCTGGCTCTTTGTTGCTGCACTCTGGATCTTTAGGTGCAGCATGTGGGATCTAGTTCCCTGACCAGGGAGGGATGGAATCTGGGCCCCCAGCATTGGGAGCCTGGAGTGTGTTAGTCACTGGACCACCAGGGAAGTCCCCCCCCCCCCGCCCCCGCCTTTTTTTTTAAACATAAAACTTACATACAGTGAAATACACTAATCTTTACTAAACAGCTTGATGAACTTTATATATACTTAAAACCAGCAGTCAGATCGAAATAGCAGACATTTCTAACATGACAGAATTTCTTAGTATTTATATACCCCTTCAGGGCTTCCCTGGTGGCTCAGGTGGTAAAGAATCCGCCTGCAGTGGGGGAGACCTGGGTTCAATCCCTGGGTTGGGAAGATTCCCTGGAGGAGGGCATGGCAACCCACTCCAATATTCTTGCCTGGAGAATTTCCATGGATAGAGGAGCCTGGTGGACTATAAAATCCATGGGGTTGCGAAGAGTCAGACATGACTGAGCGACTAAGCACACACACATACACATATATACCATACCCCTTTGAGAATCTGATACAAATTGATTCTTCTTCCAGAGAAAGTGTACAGACAAATAATATATAAAATTTTTCCATATAATTTCAGTAGGGTTCCAGGACATCTCAAAGCTTGTCTGTGGACTGATTGGGAATTTATAGACTATAGGATTAAGAATCCATACGGATCCTATCTGCCCTAAATTACTAGGAAATGTAACTGTTGTGGGTAGGAGTATAGATTCTGGAGCCAGATCCTCTGAGTTTAAATTCAAGTTCAATCTCACTATCTGTGTGACCTTGGATAAATTACTTAACTCTGTGCCTCAATTTTCTTTCTTTTTTTTTTTTTCAATTTTCTCATCTGTATATAATGGGGGTGATAGTGGTTTCTAGTTGAAAGGATTGTCATGAGGATTAAATGAGCTTACAACAATGGCTGGCATGTAGTAAGGGATATATAAATGGTTGGGGCAAAACCTGAATTACAGTGATATTGAATGGTTTGCCTTGGAAACAAACCAAGATCATTCTATTGTTTTTGAGGTTGCACCCAAGTACTGCATTTTGGACTCTTTTGTTGGTTATGAGGGCTTCTTGATTTCTCCTATGGCATTCTTGCCCACAGTAGTAGATATAATGGTCATCTGAATTAAATTCGCCCTCTCCCATCCATTTTAGTTCACTGGTTCCTAAGATGTCAGTGTTTACTCTTTAACATCTCCTGCTTGACCACGTCCAGTTTACCTTGATTTGTGGACCTCGCATTCCATGTTCCTATGCAATACTGTTCTTTACAGCATTGGATTTTACTTTCATCACCAGACACATCCACAACTGAGTGTTGTTTCCACTTTGGCCCAGCTGCTTCATTCTTTCTGAAGCTATTAGTAGTTAGTAGTTGTCCTCTCCAGTAGCATATTGGATACCTTCCAACCTGGGGGACTCATTTTTTGGTGTGATATCTTTTTTGCCTTTTTATACAATTCATAGGGTTCTCAATGGCAAGTATACTGGGGTAGTTTGCTTTTCTTTCCTCCACTGGATCACGTTTTGTCAGAACTCTCCACTATGACCCATCTGTCTTTCGTGGCTCTGCGTGCATGACTCAGCTTCATTGAGGTATGAAATCTCTTTCACCACGAGAAGACAGTGAGCCATGAAGGGGTTTACCTATTTGCAGTTACTTTTATTACTTTGTATTATACTTTTCTTCTCTTTTGCATTTTCTCTGAAGCCTAAAAGGGCTTCGCTGGCAGTTACTTTGATCCAGGGAATAAAATGTCAAGATTCTGTATTATAAGCTCTTGCTTTCTCCTTTTGATTAACCAGTTCTTCCTGTAAAAAGGTAATTGGAGCTTTCTCTTATGTCGTCTTCCTTACAGTTGTATCATGAAGGATTTTGCCTTCTTTTTTCCAACCTTCCTCCTCCCGAAAACATAGCTAAACCATTGCTACTCATCCTTTTCCTGCCAAGAAGTTTCCTACTTAAAGGTATTATGGGGTTGTTGGTGAGTAGATAATAGAGGTTAGGGAAGAATATTGATATCAGGGTTCAGTAGCTAGGCGAGAAGGGGAGTTTCTACCTAGGAAAGGCTAGGTAAGAACAGTTGGTTATGAGCTAGTGATTAATACCTTTCACACCAAAATTCATACTTGGAGACAACAAATATAATGTAAATATACTTTTATACCAATATCTTCTATACCTTGGTTCAATTCTAATATGAAAAAAGTATAAGTCAAGTTTTTTTAAGTAAACAAAAATGATTGTTCTTTTTGCAGTACGGTGTATGATGTATGGGTTTGGAGATGACCAGAATCCTTATACTGAATCAGTAGATATTCTTGAAGACCTTGTCATAGAGTTCATCACTGAAATGGTAAGATTTTTTTTTTTTGTAATTGGTCTTAGTTAACTGAGGAATGGATTTGAAATTCTAACTTTTAGAATAGAACTATGATACTCTTTTGAAAAACTATTCATTTGAGTGCCTATTTTGTGGAAGTTACTGGTTACTGTTTGTCATTAAGGATGGAGAGAGATATACATGCCTGTATATGGGTATATGGAGTTTGGCTGTGTTCAGTTCCTATGAATTTTTACCCTTTGTTTTGGATTATTTCCTTCATAAAGAATAATAGAAGTAAAATTACTGGGTCAGAGAGTTTGCATTTTTAAAAATCTTTCTCTGCTTATAAAAGTAATATTAAATTTAGAAAGTATTAAAGAGTGCCCAGAAGAAAATAAAAAGCTATAACCCTTCTACCAAGGGATAACCAATGCTGAGATTTTTGTGAATATTATTTTGTCTTTTTACACATATTTTAAAACTTTACAAAATTGAAATCATGTAGTACATACAGTGGAAGAGCCTGCTTTTTCACTTGGGTAAGTCTACTACATTTTCCCTGTGTCACTGCATAGTACTGTAATCTTTTTGATGGCTTCACAATATTAATTGATTAGATGTACTCACATTTGTTCAGTGCCTTGTTAAATGTTTAGTTTATTTTTTTTTCAGTCATTAGAAATAATGCTGCAAGGAAGTTTTGTTTTTTCACAGTATGACTATATAATGGTAGGGGATGAGATTTGTCTAAAGGAAAGCCACCAATATGTATTAGCTACCAAGGTGGACACAAAGTTTAAATGAAGTGGGTCGTTACAGAGAAATTACAAAATCATTTTATACAAATGAAGATCAACTATGTATATCAAAATACAAAAGAAATATCAATGGATTTGATAGTTTTAATGTCTTTAGTGCAAAGATGTCTATAAAGCACTGAAACATTGCTAATAATGGTAGAAAGTGGACAAAGAACATTAATAGAAAGACAATTCACAAATGAATAGCTATAATAATTAGAAGAGAAGGCTTCAAACTCATCAGCATTATAGTTAAAAAAATAAAACGTTAGATTTTTGAAAAGTTAATTGAATTTAATTTGTTTCTTTGTAATAGACTCATAAGGCAATGTCAATTGGAAGACAAGGTCGGGTACAAGTTGAAGATATCGTCTTCTTGATTCGAAAGGACCCAAGAAAGTTTGCTAGGGTTAAAGACTTGCTTACTATGAATGAAGAATTGAAACGCGCTAGAAAAGCATTTGATGAAGCAAACTATGGATCTTGACACCTTTTGTACTTTCTGAAGCTTCATTATCTTCTGGGGAAACCATACTTCATAACTATATTTTTCACAGTAAAGCCCTGCCTAATACCTAACCATGTGAATGAAGAATGGAGAACCACAAAGTTTTCAGGCTTTATTTTCACGTTTTCAATTTTAGAGTGATATATGAGCCTTTAATTGCCTGCCATTATATTACCCTACTTGAATTACATATTAGATTTTAATGACTACATGTAAGTCAAAGTACCTTTGGTTTGCAAAGCATTCAGTTTCTTCTGACTCTTGACCATCTCAATGATGAATTAATATTTGTGTATTTGTGCCATTGTAGGTTGTACTGTAGCTGTTTAATATGTGAAATCTAAATGGCACCTTTGACTTTGATAGCTAAGATGTGTTTCATGTATTTCTAAAGCTTTTAGACCACAGTAGTGTAAGTTATTAAAAGATGGTGAACTGGTTTGTGTTTCTTTTAAAGAGGAAATGATATTAGAAAATACAGCCTTTTGTAGGAGTGTTTATTTGTCTTAAGATAATTTGTTTTAATATTCTTCTTTAGATAACAAGAGTGATTTAATTTTCTAACAAGAGTGATTTAATTTT